TTTTTTTTTTTTTTTTTTTTTTCTTATGGTCTTTTATATCCAAACATTTAAAATCTGAAATGCAATTTCATGAAACCTACGTCTTCCATAGACCACAGTGCTGTGGATTGGCTTCAGGAATGGATAAACATTTTTCAGATACCAGCCAAAAGTTTTGCATTTCAGTTTCTTCTGGAGTGCCATTCTGGAAGAAACGTCTCCAAAATCGATTCCAGAGTTCTGCAAATAAAACACGGAACATGTCTGCACCTTGCAACACCCTTGACTCCACCAAAGGGTGTGGATAATGCATGAGGGAACTGAGTGCTTCCCTAATTCACTGTAAGATATCCTTAATCATTTATAGTTTTCCAGGAAAAGTGGAAGAAGGCTGACCCCTAGGAATATCTGCTGGTTTCAAAGGCACTTGGAAGGCCTGCGTAGCGGGGTCTACGTCTCATCATTAGCAGGCTGTTGCAGACTGCTCCTGTTTGAGATAATATTCACATCAACCAGGCACAAAATATTCCTCATGATGCCCAGAAAAGGCTTCCAAAAGGAATATTCTGGCAGCAAGATTTGGAGGTTAAAGGAGATTTTCTAGAAGTGGTATCTGTGGCCAATCAAAGTGGAAGAAATGCTTCAGCCCAGAGCCACAGCTCGGGAACAGAGACGGCATGTCATGCCGGCCTCGGGGGATAGGGCAAATGATGTGGCCTTAGCCAAGAAAGTCATCTTCATTCACGTGCATCCAACAGGATTCCGGTGCCTGCTCCCACCATCCCACAGCCCAACCGCCATGTTTATGTCCTCTTTAGACAGTGGACCCATGCCCAACCCTGCCGCACAAGGAATCCCCCAGTATATATGACGGATGAAGGACATGGAATCTAGAAGTTTCCTTGGTTTGAATCCTATCTCTGCTCTTACGACCTTATTACCTTAAGCAACTTCCTTTCCACTCTGTGCTTCAGTTTCTTCATCTGAAAACTTAAAATAATAAAAATAAGCCTTACACCACAGGTACGTTGTGACGAGCCATGAGTGCCTGGAACTTAGTCCTGGCACATAAATGCTAACGTCATTATCCTCACCCTATCGGGACTTGACTTAAATTCTTTAGGGCTGGGATGGCACTTCTGCTTGATCCCTTCCCATTTCCCGCCGTGACCACCACCTCTTCCTTCTTTATCCACCTCTGCTTCTGTTCAAGTCCGGGACGAACCTGGAGAGGTATGTTCCAGGCCATGTAGACCATGTCTTTGTACTCATCCATGCAGCTTTCAGCCACGCTCAGGGCATTATGCTTCAAGGGAATACTCAAGTCCAAGGAGTAGGCCTTGTGGTGTCTCTCCAGGTGGGCAACCCGGGAGCAGGGCAAGACCTTGATTCTCCCACTGCATTGCCACACCTGCAAGAGAAGAAAAAAGCAAAATCGCCTGGGCAGGCTGGACCCATGGCCGGAAAGTGCACAGCCTGTTGACTCAGAGACCACACTCTGGAACCACTTTTTAAAGAGTGTACATTCAGTCCTCCTACCCCCATCTCAACGCACCCCCAAACTATCCATATAAAACGATCTTCCTTAGACGTCTACCAAACTGTTTCTCGGGCTTCCCTGGTGGCGCAGTGGTTGAGAGTCCGCCTGCCGATGCGGGGGACACGGGTTCGTGCCCCGGTCCGGGAAGATCCCACATGCCGCGGAGCGGCTGGGCCCGTGAGCCATGGCCGCTGAGCCTGCGCGTCCGGAGCCTGTGCTCCGCAACGGGAGAGGCCACAGCAGTGAGAGGCCCGCATACCGGAAACAAAACCAAACAAAAAAACAAACAAACAAGACAAAACAAAAAAACTGCTTCTCTCCTGTCGCTCAGACAGCGCCAGAAATCCTACCTCCTACAGGAAGTCCTCCTGAAGGGACCAGAGGAGGGCCTCCGCTCCTTTATCCCCAGGGAAAATGCAGAAGAGTCCTGAGGCACGCCATGGCCTGGGCCAGTCTCGCTGGACTTAGCTTCCCATGACTGCTCTCTGCCCTGGTGCTGGATGTAAGGCAATGTGGTGGACAGACTCTCAGGGGCCCCCATGAGGCCTGACTCCTGGCATTCACATGTCTCCCTAATCCCCTCCCCTGAGGGTGGGCTTGAAACCTCCTTCTAACCAACAGGCTGTGACAAAGAGGACAGCGTGTGCACGACTACATGTGTGTCATTACGTTACATAAGCAGGTAGTGTCCATCTTGCTGGGAGATGCACCGTCTTGCTGGCTTTGAAGAATCAAGCCACCAAAGGGAGAGGTCACATGGCAAGAGACTGAGGGCGGCTCCCAACTGAGAGCCAGAAAAAGCTGAGTGCTTCCTCAGTCTGGAAGACTTGACGGAACTGAGTGCTGTTAGCAAACACACGAGCTTGGAGCAGACCTATCCCCGGCCAACCCTAGATGAGAACCCAGCCCTGGCCAACACCCTGACCGCAGCCTTACAGAAGACCCGGCTGAGCCAGGCATGGGCTCCCGACCCACAGGAACTGTGAGATGATAGATGGATATTGCTCTGAGCCACTAAGTTTGTGATGATTTTATTACACAGCAACTGGTAACTAATCCAGGTAATTCTTGACCAAGAGATACCATGACTTATGATCTAATTATAAATGTTTGTCATCCTGATGGATACAAACATGCTTGGCAGCCCACACATTCTAATATGTGGCTTAAAATGTATTCTTTATGCCAGTAGATGATTGAACTGTCTAGTGATATTAGATCGATTCAATGGCTCCTGTGTGCTCTGTTCATGGTTGCCCAAGTGAGTTGCATTTTCTGGGAGCTATTAGCCCATCCAGCAGTGGTTAGCAACCTACCACACTCATGTCTGTGGGAACCCCAGAGCAACTCAGGTCCTGCTGGTTCAGTTAACACCCGGGGTTGGGCGGCGGTGGGGGGATGGTCAGTCCCCTTATCTGACTTTCAAATTTTTTTCACCCCTTCCTCTACTTCTGAACCCACAGCTTCCCCTTCCTCACCATCTCTACCATCCAGAATAGCAAAGTGAAAAATAGCCAGGCTTTGAAATCAAAATGACCTGTATGAAATCCAGCACTGCACCCCTGGCAGCGAGCGGGGGAAACCTGCCCCCTCCCTGAGCCTCAAGGGGCTCTCAGCCACAGAAGGGCTGCCAGGAGGACTAAATGGCACCACCTTCCAAGGTGACGAACTCGAAGCACATCTTTTCTCCTTCCTTCTCCTCTATTTCACCTCATTGGTTCCCAGCATCACGTAGAGGTTCCATCTAGCTTGTTTTCAGACTTTATTTTCTGCAGCTAAACATTTAAAAATCCCAATACAACTTTCCGTCCATTTTCCTAAAAGAGTTTTCCAATCCACAGGCATTTAAGGGGGAAAAATGAACAGTGGGCACAAGAAACCTTAAATTCAAGTGAAAAGATAAAAGTCAGAATTGTCATTGATGAAGCAATTTGAACTCTTATCCTGAAACAATAGGTTTCAGGTTTTTCTCTCTCAATTTATTCCCACTTGCCAATTGCCCCCTCCTCATTCTCTCTGTCTGTCTGTCTCTCTCTCTCGCTCTCAAACGCACAGAGACATGAAGCTTCTGCTTATAGTTACAATGGCTTACTTTGTATCACAAACTATCCTGACGTTTCAGGAATTTAACCCTCACCATGTAAGTATTATGATTACCCCCATTAAAGTAATGTGCCCACGTTTACCAGCTAAGAAATGACAGAGCCTGATTCTGATCTCAGACAGTGTCAAGCTCTGGTACAGTGCCAGGAATACACAGGGTGCTGGACCAGTGCTGAGGGCATCAGACTGACACTCCATCTCTATTTATACGCATTCATGCGCACCATCGCTGCGTGGCCTCTAGATGTCAGAATAAAACACCCCGTGCAGTTCTGATGTTCTCCAAGGTCTGCTGCTGTTAGGAGGAATATATGTCCTAACAAGTGCTTAGAGGTTTGAAAAGGCAAATGGCCACACACACAAACAAAGGAAACTGGATATGGGTAAACCGTTTTATCAAGAAAAGGAAAAGAATGACCCTTCCCTGACACTCCCTCTATTTCCAGCAAAATCTATTTTTCTGAATCACAAAGTATTAAAAGAAATAGGATTTCTTGCGGAAGATGAAATGAGATGCAGGAGGGAGAGCAGAGAAAAGCGTGATGAACTCAGAAATGGTAAGAAGGGCTTTGGGTCCTAAGTTGGAGAATTGAGGTTCCAGGCAAATTCATGGGATGCTCTGGTGGGTAGGAAAACCCAGCCACAAGGAACTTGGGTCATCCTCAGGACTTTGCTAAGTACAGTGCATAAAATAATGATTTCTGCATTTACATTTTTTGTGCTAGAGACTAACTGTACTCCCAATGTCTACTCCCCACCCCCTACACTTATAGTTATAGAAGGACTAACTGGGCACATAGCCAACTAGCTGAAATCTACATTTCCCAGACTCTTTTGCACACAGGCATGTCCGTGTGACCTGTCACAGCCAATGGGACGTAGGAGAAATACAACTTTCGGGGAGTGACCTTAAAAACAAACAGTGTGCTCTCTCTTTCCCCTCTTTTCTCTTCGTACTGATGAGAATACAGATGTGGTGCTGAGGGTAGCAGAGCCATGTGATGGAAGAGGCTTGGTTCCCATCACCCTGGAACTGCCCTCCCAGTTCTGAACTGCTCGTGTTCAAACTGTTATAGGAAATCAATTTCTATCTTGTTCAAACCTTTGTTATTTTGGCCTCTGTCTCAGAAACCAAACGATGATTCTAATTAATATGTTTATAAATCATTTCAAATTACTTATCACGTTTGAACTGCACCGTCATCCTTGGGAGGAAGATGAAACAAGGATGCTTCTCTTCATTTCACAGATGGGAAAACTGGTCAAGACCACTGTGCAAAAAAATTAGTTTTCTCTGCCAAGGAATGACTGTGGCTTAAGGTAGAATCCAGAGGGGGACTCAAAGTTTATTTGTTAACATACAAATGTGGAGTCCTCATTGGGTGCTAACTGGGTACGTACGATACATGGCTGTAGGGTCATCAGTCTCAAGCTGAAAGACCTGACTAAGCTTTAGACAGGAAATTATGTTGTTCCTCCAGAGTCCGCAATGGACCAGAGGTCACCTGGCCTCAAGCACAGAATTTTTAATCTGGGAGAAGGGGAAAAAGCCATGTTATAGTAGCTCAGTCCACAGGGTATTTGTTAGCAGAGCCAGAATTAGAACCCATGTCCAGCTGCTAATGCATACTTATCCAGTTTAAAGGTGTCGAAAAGAATGTTGTCGAACACAGGGGACTCGACCATGGTGCGGTCTTCCTGAATCTGTGCCAAGATGGGCTCTGCCCTAAAAGAACAGTGTGTAACCCAGGTGGGATGTGAGGATAAACAGCAGAAGCAAAGCAGACAAAGCTGCTCCGAGCACCTTGCCCTGACACGGAGCACCTTCAGGCTGCCCTGGGTGGTGAGCAGAGTTCCCCAGAGTGCAGAGAATCTGCAGTTTGGGGGAGAGCTGGGGTGGCTAGCTGCTGACCCAGGTCAAGAGCAGATTTGAAATTAGTACCCAAATATCACCCCCAAGCCATTGTCAACAGGACCATCAGTATCTGCCTGAATTTACATTACCTCTTGGGTCTTCCTGCTTCCAAAATAATGTCTCTTTACTATCTGATTCCCCACATTCTCCAAAGAACACAGCTCTCTTTGTATCAGGTAACTTCATGGGAAAAACCTTAGGAATTACCCGAAGATAATCTCTTCATTTTACAGATGAGGATAATCTCTTCATTTTACATAAATGTCTAGTTTGGTGAAGTGACTCACTGAAAGTCACAAAGTATTTGGCAAAATCAGGGTTGGTATCCAGTTGTCCATATGCCAAGTCCATTGCTTTTTCGCTAGCACTAGACTATTTCTCCTAGCCAACCAAAAGCATCCTGTCTCTGGAGCTTCCTTTTGCTTGAGGTCTGGTGTTGACTTTCCC